ACTTGATTATGTAAAATATGAGTTTTCACTAACGTAGTGCACATGTTGCCATTAAAATAGGAAATGTTAATTTTATAACATTATATTTGTGATAAATTGGGGGGGGAGGGGAAGCTATCCTTTTGCAGCAGCAGAAAAACTAATCTCTACTCAAATACATGTGAAGTAAATGCTAGATTATTATTTGGGAAGGTGGAGGTAGCCAAGGCCTACTGAAAAATAAATTTTAATCTTCATTAGCCATCGGAAAATGATTCAGGGAAAAGTTATTTTGTGTGTGTTTATATAAATACATATACAATTAATATTTGTATAAGTCACACATATACGCATTGTGTAAATATTCATCCCAGGACTGGTGATATGGGGACAGGGAATTCTTGTTTTTAATGTTAGAAGTAGCAGGCACAGCCTCCTCTCTCTTTGCTGGAGGATCTTGCCATTTTTGGAAGACCTTAATATTGATTTCAGAGTGGTAGCCATGTTAGTCTGTATCAGCAAAAACAACGAGGAGTCTAACAAATTTATTTGGGCATCACATAAGGCTGTAAGGTAAACGGCACCTCTCCCTTCTGTCAATTTTAGGAACAGAGGTACTGCTTCTTAGAGTCTATGATATTCCTGACATTTCTTTTGTTATCACTGAAATTTCTCACGTATAACCAAAGCAAAACTTTTTGAAAGTTTGAAAGGCCATCTGTGTATATAAACTTCAATTCAGGAAGCTATCCTTATTCAGGACAACCCTTAATACATGCTTAACTTTGACTTCAGTGAGATTTAAGCACAAGCTTAAGTGCTGTCCAGAACAGGGATAGAATGAGTGAGTGTTAAGCGCTTTACTAAATCAGAGCCTAATAAAAAGGTGTATATGGTAAAACCAAATTTTATTTTGTTTTTAAGATCACCTTTAATTAATAGTGATGAATGAAACATAGACTATCCCAAAAGATGTGCATAACAATTTAATGCATCCTGGATTTAATTAAATGGAATAAGGGTCAAATTCTGCTCTGTTACATTAGTGCAACCCCACTGAAATTTATGGGCATGCACCAGTGTAATTGAAAGCATAGTTGGCCCTACATTTCTAATTATAGTGCAAATAAACATTCTTCAATCTCTGGCAGCTGTGGGGCTGGGATTAAAAGGTTGTTTGAATAGGGCAGGAGGCGGGCTAAAACTTCTAGTTCTGGGCTAAAGCATATAGCAAGTTAAATCTGCCTTTCCTGTCATTATTTTATAGTTCACTTCAGTACTGCTTGCACATGATATTCTCCATTTGTCTTCCTGCACGAGGCCTGAAATATGTGGTTACCCTGTATATATTAATGAAATAACTTGCCATATTGGATGTCATTTGAGGAGAAACTAGTTTAACACAAGTTATTTCACTCAGATCTCCAATTTTGGTGAAATGTGCCCCTTCCCTTCTCTGTGATATATAGGAGATCATCCTCAATTATCTGGTGGTCCCTTCTGGCCTTAAACTATGACATCACAACCATGAATTTCAACCTGTACAGCACATTCTGAGTTGAGAATTCATGCATTGTAATGTACATAATTGGGTCAGTTATATGTAAATTACAACAAATTTCCCAGGTATGTACTGCACATTTAATAATAGCTGATATACCAGGTGGTCTTTGGGGCTTTTTGTTTTTGTTAAGTCTGATTAATTGCAATTTTTAAATAACGCTCCTAGGAACTTTTCTAAACAGCCATAAGAAACTTTTGCATAAGATACTGAAGAACTATGTCTGCATTCAGAAGTACACAGCCCATCACGAGGCAATTTGACCTGTTAAGAAAAAGACAGCAGCTGCAGAGTTTTTTTTAACAGAGATGCAATGTGCAAAAATAAGTGTCTATATCTGCCATTGTTTTTTTATGTACAATACTTTAATATTCTAACAGAATTCCTATGAACATAAGAATGGCCATACTGGGTCAGACCAAAGGTCCATCCAGCCCAGTATACTGTCTACCAACAGTGGCCAATGCCAGGTGCCCCAGAGGGAATGAACCTAACAGGTAATGATCAAGTGATCTCTCTCCCGCCATCCATCTCCACCCTCTGACAAACAGAGACTAGGGACACCATTCCTTACTCTTCCTGGCTAATAGCCATTACTGGACTTAACCTCCATGAATTTATCTAGTTCTCTTTTAAACCCTGTTATAGTCCTAGCCTTCACAACCTTCTCAGGCAAGGAGTTCCACAGGTTGACTGTGTGCTGTGTGAAGAACTTCCTTTTATTTGTTTTAAACCTGCTGCCCATTAATTTCATTTGGTGGCCCCTAGTTCTTATATTATGGGAACAAGTAAATAACTTTTCCTTATTATTTTCTCCACACCACTCATGATTTTATATACCTCTATCATATCCCCCCTTAGTCTCCTCTTTTCCAAGCTGAAAAGTCCTAGCCTCTTTAATCTCTCCTCATATGGGACTCGTTCCAAACCCCTAATCATAAGATGCTACAACATGGGGGGGAGGGATAGCTCAGTGGTTTGAGCATTGGCCTGCTAAACCCAGGGTTGTGAGTTCAATCCTTGAGGGGGCCACTTAGGGATCTGGGGCAAAATCAGTACTTGGTCCTGCTAGTGAAGGCAGGGGGCTGGACTTGATGACTTTTCAAGGTCCCTTCCAGTTTTAGGAGATGAGATATCTCCATTTTAAAAAAAACACATGAGGAGGAGAGGCAAACAATGTAAGGCAAAGCAAATATATAACTTGAGCTAAAACTTTGTCTACTTCAGTAACTTTAATAGATTTGGTTCAGTAAAGACAAATGCTAAGGTGAAAATCCTGATAAGTGCTGAGCACATGCTAATTATCTGCAAGTACTGTGGATCACAGTGGGAATTGCAGGTGTTTAGCAAAGGAGCAAAACCTCTTGGGATTTGGCCACTTTTTTTTTATACCTAAGAATAAAATGCCTGTGCAATAATTAATACGGAAGAATGTTAGTTAGACAGCAATACTTCAGACACAGATTTGGGCAAAATAATAGCCAGTAAATTGAATGTTACTCTACAGTGAAATACAGTTGCAGAGAAAGCACAGGCTGTATCAGAGGAGGAATTTCATATGAGACAAGGCAGATACAGCACTAATGAAGCTGCATCTGAATTACCACAAGGATATTAATAAAATGGAGAGTATCCAAAGAAAAGCAACAACTATACTGAAGGATTTTGAAAACATGGTTAGGTATGGGTTAAAAAGCATTAGTTAAATGAGGATTCACTAAGGGAATATATAAAGCCAGATCCAATCCTACACTGACGCTACTGTATGCTGTGCCACTGATGTGATACTGCCCTGAGCCAGCTACTGGAGGACTCCTCCTGCATAGGGGGTATCCTAGGGTGTCACTTAGTCATTGTAGTAGCTCCCACCTCCCTGTGGCCAGAGGAGAGGTGTAACCAGGAGAAAAGGTGCATGACCACAGCAATTCCTGGCTGTTGGAATAGTTCCTTGGGGTCATAAGCAATCATGATAATTTAATGGAGTATAATAAAATTATGATGATGATTATTACTGTTACACAGGTTGTCTCCTCTTTGCTCTACCTCCTATTTCATAATATCTTTTACAGGGAGCCTTATACTAGGGGCACAAAGGATGTCCTTTGGGAACCTGGTGTCAAGACTACTCATCTCTAGCCAGGCTCCGCTTCCTGCCTTGACTTTAGGCTCTTTACTGTTGGAATCTATGAATCAGAGTAGGTGAAACACTAGTGGCTTCTTTTTATTACCTCTTTATTCTGTAGCCCCAGTCTTTTTCCTAGCCTGCTCTCAGGTGACATGTAAACTAGCAAGAGCAGAAGCCTCCTCTGTAAGGGAAAACATTTTTTAAATGGGAGTTGTTAAATGAGAATATTTTAAAGTAAAACTAACAAAAGATGCGTATGTCCTATGTGACAAGCTCCCCATTCCCTCCAGCTAGCTACCCCCTAGCCTTGCAACACTTTCCTTTACAGGCTAACACTACAGTTATTGATGAGTTCTTGTTCCCTTTAGTCACCAGAGTCCTCAAGCGCTGAGCACCCACAACTCCAGCTGATGTCAGTGGGAAATGTAAGTGCTCAGAAAATTAGGGCCAAGTTGGACATCTCTAGCAGGTGCAACACAAGGCACTTATCTGTTTCCTTGGCCTTTTTCTTGTTCCTTCCCTTCTAATTTTGTGTCTTGAATCTCTTCTTTATATTTTCTCTGGTACTCTATTTCTTCTTCAACTCATTTTCATCATCATCTGTTTCTCTCCACATTGAGGGAAGTCCTGCCTATCATTACTAATTACACAGACCTCTCGCTCTCCAACTGCTCAGTCCAACTGCCGCTTGCAACCTGCAGGGAACCTTCTGGCACCAACATTCCTTCCCCCATTCTGTTAAGGAAACATCACCCCAAACATTCTGCCTGAAGCAAAAGCTAGAAGGCGTCCGTCGAGAATGCTTAACCTTTTTATGCATAAAGAGCAAATTAACTCCACTACAGACCCTCTTTGTAGCTCAGCAACAAGGCTCCCCTTCCGTGCAGGATCCTCTTGGGGAACGTAGTGCTGGAGCTAGCCACACCTATATTGAATCCTCTTTCAGAGCCGACACACAGAAAAAGCAGAAAGATATTTATTTTTTAGCCCCTGTGAGTTTTGACAGCATGGGGATTCAGTCCTTGTCTGGGGTGGGGGCAAGGAACACATCCTGCCCCTTTGGTATCTTTTAGTAGCCAGTCATAAAGAAAAGAAGCAGTCTTTAGTTGTAAACTGTAGGATCAGCTGTGCAAATGCTGTTTCATGGTACAATATTAAGCACTTTTTAAATGGGCCCATCCTGTATTCCTTACCAAGACAATGGGAGCTTTGCCTGAGTGTGGGATGCAAGATTAGGCCCTAAGATTGTCTTCCTCCCCCAACTGTGACCTTTCTTAAAAATCATAAACTGGAAGTATTTTAGACCATTAATATACCATTTTTACTTTGCAGATAAGAAAATCTTCATATGATCTATGTAGAAGAGAAATGCTCCTGCCAGTGTAAAGTGGCACTTAAAGTTCCTTTTGTAGTGCCTTCAGACTGGGTGAGTGAATAGAATTTGGGCCACTATACATGGCTGTAATGTAGTTTAATACAGTAAATTGTTACTTACATAAGTGAGGCCAGTAACTCCATTACTTTCTACATTCCTCTCTTTGGTTGAATTATTATTGGGGCCAGAAAAACATTTACTCTTCTTACTTGGCATTTTCTGTTAATACCACAACTCTTTCTTTTCTAAAATGGAGAAGAAAAGAAAACAAACATTACAAAAACACAGCAAAGGTAAGTGAGCCTGAAGCCTTTTCCTTTACCACAACTTTTTCATTCAGGTAAACTATGTTTAAGAAACACTTATCTCCCATTAGCAGTTCCCTAAACAAAAGCTGATCTGGTAGGATGCAGAACAGCAACTTTTAGGGCCAGGTCCTCAGTTGGATATTAAAGAATGGAGCTATGCTGATTTTTCCATGGGAATTACCTGTGTCCTCCAAAGAAGTTAGTTTGCATCAGATTTTTGTGATGTATTTCTAGTGTTAAAATTTTCACATAAAACTCAAATTCAAGATTGGGTGGGCAATGCACCCTTGATGTTCCTCCTCTTGGGCTGCTAGTTCTGAACTTCTTCCTCCATCCACTTCCAGGGCTCAGATGGGGCGTGCGCAGGAATAAAAATGTGATGGCTTTGGAGGGGCATGTTCTATGCATGCCCCAGGGCCGGAGGAGCTCTGTCCCCCCTCCAATTATTGGAAGTGTCTGTGCCCCTGCTTGTGCCCCTGCTTGTCCCCCCGCCCCTTGTGCATTCCCATGGGCCCTAGTTTTATGTCTGGTCAGACTGAACTTTCTCTTGTTGGGCTGCCAAGTCTTACTCTCCCCTTTTCAACATGGCCCCTCTTTTATATTTGAATGGAGAGATTGAAATCTGAGATTCACTAGCAAATATTCCTAGAATATTGCACAATGCAATTACTGTGAAAGAATCCCACACGCACAACTGAAAATCTCTGTAAGGTCTTAAACTCATTCTTTTTGTCAGGAATGGACTGCCAGCAATTCTTGGCATGTGTTCCACGTACTGAGCTTACACAACCAACTGTCAGTATTTCAGTCAAACTGGATATAGAAAAAAACCCAGAGATCCTTTGAGGGCAGAGGAATGATTGCGGGTATTTAATACAGAGACTACATGTGAAAAATAGCTTTTTACATTTCCAGTGCAACCGTCTAGTGTGAGAGACATACAGACAGATAAAATAACTGCACTGAATTATAAAATTTATGATGCATGCATTGAATAACTTGACATTCAAATCTCCTGTTTGATTATATTCTTTTGATTTGTGGGGCCTTGATGATATATGTCACGACGCTGAGAAATATGTGAAACTTTTGCCACATTTGGAAAAGGTGAAGTCTCTCTATATTGAGACAAATAATCTGATGATCAGACTATTCAGTTTTGTTCCTTTACATAGAGAGTAGACAGTATATCCTATGTGATCAGTCATCTAGCATAACTTTACATGGCTTCATCACTTATGCATAATGAGGTTGTTCCAAATTCATGACAATAAATGCTTTCTACCACATCCTACCTCACCTTCCTTTAGGCATTCTCTGTGGGCCAGATCATCAGCTGATTAAAGCAGTGATTAAAGCTCACATCCATATGGTTGAGTATATGTTTAAGGGCCTAGGTATCAGTACTCAGCCTGAACTTAGGAAGGAGGCCTCTTAGCTGATATCCTGGATAAGCAGAGAACATAAGAACGGCTACATTGGGTCAGACCAATGGTCTACTTAGCCCAGTATCCTGTCTTCCAACAGTGGCCAATGCCAGGTGCTTCAGAGGGAATTAACAGAACAGATAATCATCAAGTGATCCATCCCCTATTGCCTATTCCCAGCTTCTGGCAAACAGAGGCTAGGGACACTTCAGAGCATGGTTTTGCATCCCTTCCCTTCCTGGCTAATAGCCATTGATGGACCTAGCCTCCATTAACTTACATAGTTCTTTTTTTAACCCTGTTATAGTCTTGGCCTTCACAACATCCTCTGGCAAAGAGTTCCACAGGTTGACTGTGCATTGTGTGAAGAAATATTTCCTTTTGTTTGTTTTAAACCTGCTGCCTATTAATTTCATTTGGTGACCCCTCAGTCTTGTGTTCTAAGAAGGAGTAAATAACACTTCCTTATTTACTTTCTCCACATCAGTCATGATTTTATAGACCTCTATCATATCCCCCCTTTCTTGTCTTTTTTCAAGCTGAAAAGTCCCAGTCTTATTAATCTCTTCTCATATGAAAGCTAATAATTTGTATGCCCTTTCTGTACCTTTTCCAATTCCAATTATCTTTTTTGAAATGGGGGCAACCAGATCTGCACGCAGTATTCAAGATGTGGGCATACCATGGATTTATATAAAGGCAATATGATATTTTCTGTCTTATTATCTATCCCTTTCCTAATAATTCCCAACATTCTGTTACCCTTTTTGACTGCTGCTGCACATTGAGTGGATGTTTTCAGAGAACTATCCACAATGATGCCAAAATCACTTTCTTGAGTGGTAACAGCTAATTTAGACCTCATCATTTTATATGTATTGTTGGGGTTATGTTTTCCAATGTGCATTACTTTTGCATTTATCAACATTGAATTTCATCTGCCATTTTGTTGCCCAGTCACCCAGTTTTATGAGTTCCCTTTGTAATGCTTCACAGTCTGCCTGGGACTTAACTATATTGAGTAGTTTTGTATCATCTGCAAATTTTGCCATCTCACTATTTATCCCTTTTTGCAGATGATTTATGAATATGTGGAACAGTACTGGTCCCAGTACAGACTCCTGAGGGACACCACTATTTACCTGTCTTAATTTCTGAAAACTGACCATTTATTCCTACCCTTTATTTCCTGTCTTTTAACCAGTTACTGGTCCATGAAAGGATCTTCCCTCTTAGTTTGCTTAAGAGCCTTTGGTGAGGGACCTTGTCAAAGGCTTTCTGAAAATCTAAGTACACTATATCCACTGGATCACCCTTGTTCACATGCTTGTTGATCCCCACAAAGAATTCTACTAGATTGATGATGCATGATTTCCCTTTACAAAAGCCATGAAGATTGATGCAGAATATTTGTTTAGTTTCTCTGCTGAGACCTTATCTTCCTTGAGTGTTTCTTTAGCATCTCAATCATCCAGTGGTCACATTGGTTGTTTAGCAGGCTTCCTGCTTCTGATGTACTTAAAAATTTTTGCTGTTACTTTTTGAGTCTTTGCCTAACTGTTCTTCAAATTCTTTTTTGGCCTTCCTAATTATATTTTTATACTTTACTTGCCAGAGTTTATGCTCCTTTCTACTTTCCTCAATAGGATTTAACTGTCACTTTTTAAGGATGGCTTTTTGCCTCTAACTGCTTCTTTTACTAGAGATGCTGGAAAGTTAAGACAAATTAACTAAAGGTATGAAATTAAAGTGCATTACATCCCTGTGTGGTTGCTCTCATCCAGAAATCAAGTGGCCTTAGCTCACTTTATCTTAATTCCACAGGATTAATCCAGCAGTTTAGAGGGGGGAGAGGAATGTAATTCCCAAAGGAGACCTTCAGAGTCAGGCCATGTCTACACTACAAATTTATGTTAACTCAAGTTACGTTGGCATACAGCTGCCGCAGTTAGTATATTGCTTGTGTGCATGCATACTTTGCTCCTTGTGTTGGCAATGTGCGTACTCACCAGGGGCACTTGTATTGATGCAGAGTGCGGTGTAACATGGGTAGGTATCCCACTGTGCAACTAACCACCATCCAGCACACTGTCTTTTGAGAAATTTGGCCATGCATGACATGACTGGAACGAGTCGTGCAGGAGTGACTGGGAGTATGGGGTCAACTTCCTAGTTTGCAACTATTTCCATCCCATAACGTCATCTGTATTCCACAAACTCATGTGGTCCTCCTCGCTGTCCACCATCTCTGACAGAAGCATGGAGCCTGCAATGCTCTGCGCTCTTGTCATGAGCATTGCAAGCACAGGGCACACAATCCTGCAGTATTTAAAGAGCAACAAGTAAAGACACGGGAACATGATGATTCCTTGGAGAACAGATTGCTATGGGTCATAGCAAGAAACAGTTCCAAGTTGTTGGTGGCGTTCATGGAGCAGCTGCAGATGATGGAACTCTGGTTCTGGGTCTGAGAAACCAATACTGACTGGGGCATCGCATCATAATGCAAGTTTGGGATAATGAGCAATGGCTGCAGAACTTTCAGATATACAAGGTCATATTCCTGAATCTGTGTGCCAAGCTCACCTAAGCCTTCCAGTGCAGAGACACCAAAATGAAAGCCATACCGACAGCGGAGAAGCGAGTGGCTATTGCACTATGAAAAATTGCAACACCAGATTGCTACCGATCAGTCAGGAATCATTTTGGAGTCAGGAAATCCACCATTGGGGCCACTGTCATGCAAGCGTGCAGGACTAATCGCTTCCTGCTACGTCGGACTGTGACCTCTCAGCAATGTGCAGAACATAGTGGATGAATTTGCAGCAATGGGGTTCCCAAACTGTGGTGGAGAGATAGATGGTACGCATATTCCTATTTTGGCAGCAGACCACTTAGCCACAGAGTAAATCAACAGAAAGTGCTACATTTCTATGGTTATGCGAGTGTTGGTGGATCTCCAGGGATGCTTCACTCACCTCAGTGTGGGCTGCTCAGGAAAGGTGCACGATGCATGCACTTTTAGAATACAGTAACTCCTCGCTTAACATTGTAGTTATGTTCCTGAAAAATGCTACTTTAAGCGAAATGATGTTAAGCGAATCCAATTTCCCCATAAGAATTAATGTAAATAGTGGGGGTTAGATTCCAGGGAAATTTTTTTCCCCAGACAAAATACATTATATACATATACAGTATAAGTTTTAAATAATTTTAAACAAACAATTTAATACTATACTCCCCCAATGATGATTGTGAAGCTTGGTTGATGCAGGGGCGTAGCGGGGTCAGGGCGTGGGACTTGCCCTGCTCCACC